GCAGAAGAGAACTGCCCTGTGGGCTTCCCAGACTGTCACCTTTACAGGAGTTGAAGGTTGAGGAACTGGTAACCATCTACTTTTGAACATGCTGCCTGGAGGCAGATTTTTCACTATGAGGCTATGATATGGGAGCCTGGTGGCATAGGGGTTATGTGTTGGGCTGCTAACTGCCAGGTCAGCAGTTTGAAACCACCAGCCACTCCTCAGGAGAAAGATGAGGCTTTCTACTCTCATAAACAGTGACAGTCTCGGAAACCCACAGGGTCGTTATGAGCGAAGACTCAGAGTCGAATTACTGGCAAAGAGAAGGGGGATCAGTGGTTCAGAAAGAAGGTGGTGGAGCGAATCTTAACAATGGATTGAAGGACATCATCATCTTCCACAAAGTTAAAGAACAAAACCAAAAAGAGACTTCCATCAAGGCAATTCGGACTCTTCGTCGATCCCTTTGCACAGAGGACGGCTGCCCCTGGGTTTTTCAAAGCATGTCATTCCTGACAGAAGTAGAGAGCCCCAGACTTTGCTCAGGGAGCAGCCAGTGGTTTCCAACTGCTGACTTTGCAGTTACCCACTCCGACAACGGGGGTCCTCCACAACATCTGGCTCAGAATTTAAACTCTACTACAGCCCTAGGGACTTTGCTGGGACCCCAGACAGCCCTGGGAGGGGCATCTGTTCTCAGGGTATTGCGGGGGTGGGGGGTGGGGTAGAGGTGGTGGGGGTGGGGGAGTCTTCATGGAGCCACGTGGTTTTGAGTCATGCCCAGAAGATGGCTGGAGGGCCCCATATTTCTAATCTGTAATCTGTATCCTATTCCCTGTCACTTCCCAGGCCAGTATGCCCAACTGCAGCTAAAGGATTGATCTGTGCCAGTCATGCTTCTGTGCCAACTTCCCTTGGTTTCGTGTTCTATATATGTTAGCTCTAGGAGCCCTGTGGCACGGTGGTCACACGTTGGCCTACTAACTTCAAGATCAGCAGTTAGAAACCACCAACTGTGCCGAAGGAGAAAGATGAGGCTTCTTACTCCTGTACAGAGTTACAGCCTCAGAAACCCGCAGAGGCAGTTATGCCTTGTCTGATTAGGGTCACCGTGCACCCCAATGAGCTCAATGGCAGTGGGTTTCTGATCTGATAGTCATGGCTGTGGCTCCTTAGGACACTGTTTTGGCCTCGGCCTGGTGATCTTCTCAGGATGCTCATTTTTGTCTTTGTCTTATCTCTGACCCACTTAAAGCTGAATAAATGAGTCTTTACATACCTTCGGCCTCCCCATGAATAACAAGGAACTGTGGGTAACATTTCACACTGGGAATCCCGGGATGCTTCCTGGTGCTCCTGCAGATCCTGCACATGGAACAGGGGAGACTGCATGGCTTAAAATCAGGAAAGGCCCGGGTCAGGGTTGCATCCTTTCACCACACTTATTAAATCTGTATGCAACAGCTACTGCGTGCATCCACATGCATGAAGTCTTCCTTTTTTAAAAAAATAAAAGACACGTTTCATTGGCATCTCATTGGTGTACAATTCAGTGGTTTGGGTGGATAAAACAGAGCTGTTCCTTGTCCCGCATCCTCTGCTTTTCCAAGCACGACGTCCTTATCCAGGGAGCGCTAACGTGGCCAGAGCAGGGGGAGGAAGTCTCACATGCTCAGAAAACCCTATGGGGCAGCTCTCCTTTTTCACATGGGGTCACCATGAGTCAGAATTGACATAAGCCGTAACAACCACACACAGACCTCCCACGACACAGCCCATCTCTCAGGCATCCTGCCAGTCTCTCCCCTGGGGGCTGGCCTCTCCTCTGAAGCCATCATGTCCTGCTCTTCCGGAGTTGTCGGTGCCCTGTTCTCCCATTGCTGTCTGCCTGGCCTCCTGCCATCTGTCACCCTCTGTAAGGTCTACTGCAAGGAACTGTGCACCTTTGCCCTCAGATTAACATCCTTGTTCTTCCAATACGCTAAAGAAATCTTTGTGCAGATTTACCCAATGGAACGCATCTTTTGAACTGACTGCTGCTTCCGTGAGCATTGATTGTGGAGCCAAGCAAGAGGAAATCTTTGACAACTTCGATCTTTTTTCCATTTTTCATGATGTGACCCTATTGCCCCATTTGTGAGGATTCTTTCCCCCTTTACATTGAGTTGGAATCCGTACTGAAGGCTGCAATTCTTGATCATCAGTAAGTACAAGTCCTCCTCACTTTCAGCAAGCAAGGTTGTGTCATCTACGTATCGCAGGTTCTTAAAAAGGCTTCCTCCAGTCCTGATACGCCTTCTTCATATAACCCAGCTTCTCTGATTATTTGTCCAGTATACAGATGATCCGCATACAGTATGTATGGTGAGACAAGCCTAACGCAGACCTCTTCTGGTTTTCAACCATGCAGTATTCTTCTGTTTTGTTCACACAACTGCCTCTTGATCCAGTCAATTTATGTGGAGAATCAAAAATGGATACGGGGCTCCCACTGTGAACTGTGGTTAATAACAAACTAGTCTTTGCAATCTAAGCTATAATACCCTCCAAAGAAACTCTGAGTCAACTTTGACTCACAGTGACCCTGTAGGATGAGGTAAAATTGTCTGTGTGGGCTCCAGAGACTGTAATTTTTAAAACTGTTTGCAGGAGTAGAGAGCCTCATCTTTCTCCCTTAGAGCAACTGGTGGATTCCAACTGCTGACCTTGTGGTTAGCAACCCAATTCGAAAGCCATGACTATTATCCCATTACCATTGTTACTCGTGCATATTCATAGGTTCTTGAGGTGAAGGAGTGGAATCTTGGCACAGGCACTTTGAGATCTCTGTCTCTCAAATCAGTTTTCCATACAATGCCCCAGCAACCTAACAAGCTAAGTCCAGTGAAGGCCAAGGGGAGGTTGGCACCTCTATTTTTGGTTGCTGAAAGGGCTTGATGGCAGTGGGTGGATGTGCTGATGTGAAGGGCATGCATGAGAGTTTCAGGATGAGGAGAGCTCTTGGGGGGGGGGGGGGTAGCCTTTGACTGAGGTGGGAGGGTCCTACAGGTACATGCATTGCAATTCTGAAGAGGTTCACAGAGCACCAACAGGAAGTTAGGAGGGAAGCCGGTTATCTGGACTATTGTATGCCTACTGATGAAGGCTGGGCTAATTCAGGGCAAGACAAAGAGAGACCATCAGACTTGTGCTTGTTTCAGGTGTGGCGGAAGATGGGCTGCAGATAAAGAAGGTGGCTTCCCACTAGGTTTGTACTTTTCTGACCTTCAGACACCTTATCTGCAACACAGCAGCCTGCAGTTGGGGCAGAACTCCTCCCTGAGGTTTACACCTCAGCCCTATGCAAGATTCCACAGGTATTCAGCATGGGTCCCTTGAGGCCTTGGGACCCTCCAACCAGGACCTACCCTCCAGCACCAAAGTAAAGCCAGGTCACGTTAAGCTCACCTCCCCAGTCTCACCCGCTAGTGGTCTGTTCCCATCCGGCACAACTTGTCCCACCTCAGGGCACTGCAAACAAGGGACCCTTCCTCTGGGCCTTCTCCCCACAGGTTGGGTCCCATCGGTTGCCTTCGACTTTGGGGTGTCTGGCCACTTGCCACCCTCTTGATTCATGCCACTACGGCTTATACCCCACCCTCGATTACAGTTCTAGCTCAGGCTGTGGCCGGCCGAGCACACTTCATCCATTTGTTCTATCCCTTCTGCCTGAGGGCAGATGAGCCTCAAGGTCGTAAAGGGCCAGGGTCGTGGGGTTTAACAGCTTCCAATTCCCACAGGGGCCTCCGGGGAGGCTGTGGGGGATCTGCTCCCCATTCTCGCCTGTGATCAAGTGCGCAGGGCCGAGGTAGGGAGAGCATGGTGGAGGAAAAGCCCCCTCTCCTTGTTGCACCTCGGCTCCACGTTGGGGCTTCGAGCAGGGGCGTGGCCGGTGGACCCTCAAGGTCCCGCCCCCACCCCGTCTCCGAGGCGACGCCGGAAGGGTGCTCTAGCTCAGAGCTCCCCTGCGCCGGGTCGGCCTCAGCTTCCTAGACTTTGGTTCCTCAGGGTAGGGGGCCCCAAGTGCGACCGGGCGGCGCGACTGATCTCCATGGAAACGCCGGAAGCGTGCTCCGGACCAGCGCTCCCCTGCGCCGCGGCCGCCGCGGAGTTGGGTTCCGCCCGGGTCGCGGCCCGG